GAGAACAGCTGAGTTTGTATCAGGAAAGCCAGTGTAACAAGCTTCTCTCCAGGAGAATCAATAGCATACCATCTTCCTTTTATGCTGTTGGCAGTAAAAGAAGATATGGGGGTTTTTAATAGAGTACTACTCTGTCATAAAGAAGGATAAGCATTTGACATTTCTAGCTAAATGAATGCACCCTGAGACCACAGTCTTAAGTGGTCTTTGTCTAAGAGATATACTCAGGTGTCCGTACGTAGTAGAATAAATAAGTAAACTGTCGATGAGACAGTGAGATGGTGCACAGTACTGTGACTATAGCTATATATATTGACACTTTTAAAGAACAAGTTCCAGAAGAATACATAAAATGTTCCACTTCTTTATGGTTTTCTGGGGATTTTTTTGTACTTTTTTTTGTTTGTTTTGTCTGTTTTGAGACAGAGTTTCAAATCAGACACATGTTTAAATACTGCATGGTTTTTCTGGTGTGAGAAGCTGAAAGTGTAAATAAGGACCAACATGTATAATAAATATTAGAATTGGGAAGAAAATGTCCAAGTCAAAAGGGGAACAGGGAGGGGGGAGGGGGAAAGAACAGACAAAAAAAGAATAGAAGAAAAAAATAGAAACAAAGCTTTTGTAAATAAGGAGGGGGAAAGGAGTTGAAGGAGGGGAGGGGAAATGGGACAAAGAGAAGCAGCAAGATATATCATGTACAGGTACAAATTCCCTATGATGAATGTTATCATTTTAAAATGTACCAATAAAAGCCAGACATAGTGGCACATCCCTGTAATCTCAGCTGAGGCAGGACGTTCACTGCAAGTTTGTAGCCAGCCTTGGCTACAAAGTGAGTCCCAGGCCAGCCTGAACTGCATAGTGAAACTCTGTCTCAAAACAGACAAAACAAACAAAAAAAGTACAAAAAAATCCCCAGAAAACCATAAAGAAGTGGAACATTTTATGTATTCTTCTGGAACTTGTTCTTTCAAAGTGTCAATATACATAGCTATAATCACAGTACTGTGCACCATCTCACTGTCTCATTGACAGTTTACTTATTTATTCTACTACCTATGGACACCTGAGTATATCTCTTAGACAAAGTATCCGGAGTGTGCAGTTTTATTGACTCACAAGGTATGATCAAGAGCAGACTACCCAAGGATTCTTAATTTTGAAAATAGGAAAATTACTCATAAACATAAAAATAATACACAAGTATTAGAAATGTAATCTAAAATATCAACTCCTCCCAAAGAAAAACTCGTATTGATAGCTTGACTGCCAGCATTTAGGCTTTGGAAGTGTCTAGCTTTCTCAGTGATTTATTCTATTAATAAGATCACAGTTTGATGGCATTCCTGAGAGATGATAAAAACAAGAAGCTGGGCCTAATGAAGAAAGGAGTTAGCCATGATGGTGCATGCCTGTAACCCCAGCACTTGGGAGGCTGAGGCAGGAGGGTCATTGAGAGTTTGGGACCAGCCTGGGCTACAAAGTGAGCTCAAAGCCAGCCTGAACTGCATAGTAAGGAAAAAAAAAAAAAAAAAAAAAAAAGAAAAAAAGAAAAAGAAAGAGATCACTGGGGTGTGGCCCTGGAGATTAAATTTGGTCCCTGGGCCCTTCTTCTCTCTGGTTCTCACTGTCTATGTCCTGGCCACAACAAAGCAGCTTTCCTCCACCATGCCCTTCTGCCATTCTCTGGACCTAAAACATTGGATCTGGGTCACTATGGATTGAAACCTCTGAAACTGTGAGCCAAAATAAGCCCTTCCTTCTCTACGTTGTTTTTCTAAAGTATATATTTTGTCACAGTGACGAAAAATACCAACATACCAAGTATTTCTTGGCATTGTGAGTATCCTCAATATTTTATATTTATATACGGTCATGAACCACATAACAATGTTTCAGTCAACAATAGACTACATACATATATGACAGTGGTCCCATAAGGATGTATTACCTATTGATGAAATAACTGTCTGTAAGTATACTTTACGATGTTCACAGAACAATGAAATTATCTAAGGATCTATTTCGCATAACATCCTTGTGTGACTGACTATATAACTTCCAACAAATGAGACTAAGACTGGTATGATTTCACAAGGTTGGCAGAATCTAGGAACAGTCTATGGAAAAAGACTCATACCATGTAAGGATCATACCATACATTTAAGGGTCATACCATGTATTTAAGCTGACTTTTCTTTTTTTTTTCTTTTTTGGAGGTCTCAGGGTCTTAACAGTGAGCTACATTTCCAGATTTTGTTTTATTCTTCGAGACAAAGTCTCACTAAGTTACTAAACTGCCCCTGGCTAGGCTATTTAAGCTGACTTTGGTGTACTTATTTCCAAACTCCCCTAGGAACCCAGAAGCTTCACAACTAGTAATTCTTCAGTCAGCCTGGGTTTCTCCTGATGCACTTTGCTCTAGGTTAAACTTGCATTAGAACCAAAGAATCACTAAAACAAACCATCTAATAAGCCACGAAGTTGTGAAATATTTTGTTTTGTGTTCAAAATTCAGCCAAAAGTTCCTCCTACTGAACTACAAGCTCTATTAACTATTGTTCTAACAGTCCAAAGAAAACCTCCAATGATGTTCTAAGAAACCTTTCTCAGCTTCTGCCTTTCAGCAGTGAACACACTCTATATTTTAGTAATTTACTGCACTTGTATCACTTGCCTAGTAAAATATTGGGTTTAGACAATTAACAAAACACACTGTATTTTCCAGAGAAGAAAGTTCAACTAATTCTTCGTGGAGAGAGGGGATGGTAATATAACTCAGTGGTACAGTACATGATTAGCATAGGTACAGTTCTGAGTTCAATCCCGAGCCTCCTCCCCATTATGTATAAAACCACTGCAGAAGGAATTCCACCTGGCACTAAGTTTGGAGCCAAGTCATGTTTCTTGCTCTGAGAATCTTTGACTGAACTGGAAATTCAGGCTTGTAAGTGAGGGTTACACATGTTTGGGTAGTGGGTGACTAAACTGAGAAGTTTCTCCCCACTCATTTCCATTTCTTCATTCTAAATCTTTGCTCATAGGCTGCCTCTGGAACCAACTAGTTTCCTAAGGACAATAGGAATCAATATTTGGTTTAAAGAAAAGAAAGTCAGGTGTGATGGCACATGCCTGTAATCCCAGGCTGAAGCAAGAGGATTGAAGAGACTTTGAGGTCATCTGGACTACAAAGTGAGCTCAAGGTCAGCTTGAACTACATAGCAAGATCCTGTTTCAGGGGCTGGGGATTTAGCTCAGCGGCACAGCACCTGTCCGGCAAGCGCAAGTTCATGAGTTGGATCCCTGGTACCGGAAAAAAAAAAAAAAAACAAAAAAACAAACAAACAACAACAACAACAACAAAAAGATCCTGTTTCAAAAAAATTATTTTTCAGTCTGTCAATTACTTACACAAAAAACAAAAAAATGTTAATATAGTCTAAAATGCAAACTTTCAACATGGTACCCACTAATAACATGTGGCAATGTAAACTGAATTAAAATTAAATACAAATTTTAAAAGGTCTCCACTTAGCTTCAAGTGCTCACTGGCAACAAGCTAGTGGGGATTGTGATAGAGAATAGACACAACAACAATCATTGCACAAAGTCCTAATGAAGAGCCCTTAGCTAAGACAGGGAACGACTGTAAAATTCTTCTACACTTTTAGAAAATAAAAAAGCCTAGGTCAAATGGGTTTAGCTTTCCATACATACTCAACACCTATGAAATTCTGAGGTTAGAGTTGAACCTGCTAAAGTGGAATGAAGACCTAAGAAGGAAGAACTGAAGTAGTAAAGTTAGTAAGAGCCAGCCCACAAAGCAGTGGTTAAAAGTTTTTTTCCCTCAGATGCATGCACAGACTCTCAATGTCTCTTGGATTCAAAAGAGACAATGACGAATCTTTAAAATCAGAAAAGGAGAAAAACAATGTTCATATTTCTAACTTTAAAATTATTTCATTTTTTATCTGGTTTCTGGAGTTTGTTTACAGCAGTCCTATTTTTAACCAGATGCAACTGTGGTCCACATATAATTTAATATAAAAGTGGTTCTTGGAGCGTGCAATGCTGTGGCTCCCCGGAATGTGCAAACTGAAATAAAACTACGGGATACTTGCCATTTTTGTATCCAGGGAGAGTCATGTCCTCACTCTAAACATTTATTAAAAACATGTAATAAAACCAAATAAACCATGTTCATCATACGTATTCATATTCAAGTACTGCTTAGCTAGAAAAGGTGTACCTCCCTAGTTTCTTGTCATTCTGGGAAATCTGTGTTTTAAAATTTTCAATCTTTTCCCCGAAAAAAGGCAGATAACAGGGCAAAAAAAGGATGACAACTAGCTGGCTTTGAATGCTTTAATGCCGTGGTTCTCACACTTCAGCAGGCTTCAGAGTCACCTGTTGGGCTCAGGGCCCCGCCTCCCGGGGGTCGGAGCCGAGGTCCCGGAGAAGCAACGCCGCCGCGGACGGACCGGCGCGCTAACACTTGCTCAGCAGACGAAGTCGGGAAGTGGCGGCTCTTCCCGCTCCCTCTGCCCCGGCCTGGGAAAGGCCCTCCTTCCCCGTCGCCGGCGAGCAGACACGGACGGCCTGCGAACGCGCCCTGTAACTGGCCATCTTCACATTCCCCAAACACACACACGGCGGGCCGGGCCGCACCGCGCGACGGCGCCATCACCGAGCCCGAGGCGCGGCGACCGCGCTGACGGCGGGGAAGCCCGGGAGCAGCAGGGCAGTTCGCGGCCGCAGGACGCTCGCGAGCTGTGGGGGCCGTGGCTTAGCTGCACACTGCAGGCCGGGTGGCCCCTTCCCTCCCGCCCTCGCCTCCCACTCCCAGCCGCCCCACTCCCTCCGGGGCTTCTGCCACAACTTCGGGGACTCGCACCGCGCTCCTGCCCGCCGCCAGAGGTGGGTGGCGTCGCCGCGGCTGCCCGGCCTGGCCGAGGGTCCGAGCCTAGGGCTCGTCTGCCGTTCCCGCCCTGTCCTACCTGCGGGGCTCCGGGAAGCGACGGCTCCGGGGCGGCCGTCGTCAGCCACCTGGCCCCCGGCAGGACCAAGAGAAGCAGCCGGAGAACGAGCCGCGCCGGCCCTAGCCCTTCCATCTTGGACGACCCGGGTGAAGCGGCGGGCAGTGAGGGCGGAGCCGCGAGGGCGGGGCGGACCTTCCAGGGGCGGGGCGGACCTTCCAGGGGCGGGGCGACGGGCGGGGCGACGGGCGGGGCCTCGCCGGCGGAGAGGAGCTGTCCGGCGCAACTTGAAGAGCAAAGTGCGCATGCGCACTGCCGCTCTAGGAAGGACTCCAGCGAGTTGAGAGAACTATGCCTAGATCGCTACATCCTCTGTTATTTTATTTTATTCTTTTTCTTTTCGGTACCGGAAATCCAACTCAGGACCTTGCGCTTGCCAGGCAGGCTCAGTGCCACTGAACTATCTCCCTAACCGGTTATTTTATTTTTTGAGACAGTGTCTCACTATGTATCCCAGGCTGTCCTTGAATTCAGTCCAGGCTGGCCTGGAACGTCTGGCAATCCTCCTGCCTCAGGCTCTCCAGCACTGGGATTACAGGCGTGTGCCACCACATCCCGCCGGCCTCAGCCTTATTTTGAGAGGGGATTCTCACTTCAACTGGTGAAGACCTTTATGTTGGCATTGCACTACTTTATATATATATAATTCTGAGATAGGATGGAATAAATACAGAGGAAAAGGAGACAAGGAAACCATAGTTTTAAGTTGACATCTCTGCCGTCAATTTTTTTTCTTTTAAAGAGGGAAAAAAACAAAAATGATACAGAATTTCAAAGCAAGATGATAGGAAATTAACAATGGGTATTATATTGCATATTGTTGTTTTTGAAGTAGTTGCTCAGATTAGCAGGTACAGGCATGCAAAATTGATCAAACAATATAAACACTAACTGTTCCTTTCAAAGAACTAATAGGAATTAGTACTACAATTACCTTAGCTATCTTGTGTATAATACGTATCTTCTTCTCCCCCTTCCTTTTTTTCTCTTTTCCCCCATCCCAGTTGGTCTTCTTTTGAACAGTTTCTTTCTTTTTCACTATATCTATTGAACATTTTGGATCTTATTTACTCTTTCAGTTTCTTACACTAGGGAGACAATATGATGTTTACACATTAGAGTCTATGATCAATCAACTACAGCTTCAGTCTAAGATTTATTTCACTTATGTGTGCCAGGCGTGGTGGCACATGCCTGTAATCCCAGCACTTGGGAGGCTGAGGCAAGAGAGTCGTTGCGAGTTCAAGACCAGCTTGGGCTACAAAGTGAGCTCAAGGACAGCCTGAACTGCATAGCGAGACCCTGTCTCAAAAAGGCAAAAACAAAACAAAACAAACAACAACAACAAAAAACAAACCACTTACAAGTATGGTCTCCAGTTGCATCCATTTACCTATAAAAACCTTGAGTTTATCTTTTATTATGGCTGAGTAATACTGCACTGTATAAGAATACCATATGTTTTTTATCCATTCCTCAGTGGATGGGCATTTGGGTTGTTTCCAAGATTTAATTATTACGAAGTGTGCTGCTACAAACATGGGTGCACATATATTGCTGTGATATGATGTTTTCAATTCTTCTGGGAAAATACCCAGAAGGGGGATAGCTGGGTCTAATAAGAGCTCTAATTTTAGTTTTCTGAGGAATCTCCACACTGATTTCGACAGTGGTTGTAACAGTCTACACTCCCACCAACAGTGGAGAAGTGTTCCTTTTTCCTCACAGCCCCTCCAACATTTGTTATTGGTTGATTTCTTGATGATAGCCATTCTTTCTGGGGTGAGGTAGAATCTCAGTGTTGTTTTAATTTGCATTTCTCAAAAGACCAATGATCTTGAATATTTTTTCATCTATTTATTTGCCATTTGTATTTCTTCATCTGAGAATTGTGTACTCATCTCAGATGCCCATTTTTGGATTAGGTCTTTGAATTTTGGGGGCCTGATTTTAAAAAATTCTTCATATGTTCTAGATAGAAGTCCTTTGTCTGCGTGACAGTTGGCTAAAATTTTTTCCCAGTTTGTGGGGTTTTTTTCATGCTGTTGGTGATTTCTTTTGGTGTGCAAATCTTTTTAATAAGATGAGGTCCCAGTTGTTGATTCTTTGTATTTCCTGTGCAGTTTGGTTTTTGTTCATAAACTCTTTGCCTAATGCTATGTCTGCAAGATTTCTTCCTACTTTCTCTTCCAGTAGGTTTAGTGTTTCAGTTTTAATATTTAGATCTTTAAGCCATTTTGACTTTATTTTCATGCATGGTGATAGGCATGGTTCTAGTTTTAGTTTTTGGTGTATGGAAAGCCAGTTTTTCCAGCACCATTTACTAAAGAGCCTATCTTTCTTCCAGTGAACATGTTTGGCCCCTTTGTCAAAGATAAGGTGGCTGAGTGTGTTTGTAGTTGTGTCTGCATCTTCTAATGAGTTCCACTGATCCTCAGGTCTGTTTTTTTTTTTTTTTTTTTTTTTTTTCCAATAAAATACTGATTTATCACAGTAGCTTTGTAGTATAATTTCAAGTCAGGGATTGTGATACCTCCTGCCTTGCCTTTGTTGCCCAGGATTGCCTTTGCTAGTATAGGTCTCTTCTGGTTCCAGATGAACTTTAGGAATGTTATCTCTAGATCTGAGAGTTATGCTAATGGTATTTTGATCAGGATTGTATTAAATCTGTACAACACAGTTTGGGGAGTATAGCGATTTTCACAATGCTTGTTCTTCCTACCCATGAGCAAGGAATATCTTTCCATTTTCTGAAATCCTCATTCTCTTTTTTCAGAGTGTTGTAATTTTCAATGTATAGATCTTTTACTTCCTTTACTAGATTGACTACGTATTTCATTTTTTGGATGTTATTGTGAAGAGCATGATCTCCCCAATTTCTCTCTGTTTGTGTACAGGAATGCTATTGATTTTTGTGTGCAGGAATGCTATTGATTTTTGCGTGTTGATTTTGTATCTAGCTATGCTACAGGAGTGCTATTGATTTTTGAGTGTTGGTTGTGTATCTAGCTATGCTACTGAATTTGCTTATTAATTCTAGGAGTCTTTTGGTGGAGTTTTTGGTGTCTTCTATGTAGAGTATCATGTCATGTGCAAATAATGATAATTTAACTTCTTCCTTTCCTATGCTTATTCTTTTTATTTCTCTCTCTTGTCTAATTGCTCTGGCTAATGTTTCTAGAACTATACTGAAAAGGAGTGGTGGTAGTGGACATCCTTGTCTTGTTTCAGGTTTTAGAGTGAAAGTTTTCAGTTTCTGCCCATTTAGTATAATGTTGGCTGTTGGTTGCCATCAATTTGTCTCCTTTATTACCTTAAAATTTTAGAGACCTGCTCAGCTTTGCACGTTTTAAGGAATGTCTGTATCATAAGGTTTGGCCTCAGTTTTCCTAGCCTATCTCATCGCCCTTAAGACTGAGGACACCAAGATAAAAGAGCAACTAAATTTTTAGGATTTGCAGAGACTCCCAAATGCCACCTTTTACAACTGTGCAGTTCTAGATATCCCTGTCCTCTACCCTTAAGGATGCCTAGAAGTCTCCAAACCTATTATTACTCCAGATTCCAGGAAAAAAGAGCCTAACAAACCACCCCTGGGTGAGATCACTTCCCCAAATGATAGTAACCACCTCATGACAGGAACAGGGAGCCCCCCCACACCAAAAAAGCAGTCATCTCTTTGGAACTGAATGGCCCCTCAAACCATAAAGATTCCTCCAGATCTGATATAATGATCCAGCAGAGCCTGGCCTGCCTCATTTAATCCATAAAAGCTGGCTCAGTTCTTTTGTGAGAAGGCCGGTCTAAAAACCCCTTCATCAGAATCAACCCCTTTCCACTGCTAAAGCTGGAGTTCTTTCCCAGTTCTCCTTTACTTTCTAACTAATACATTTGCCTATAGCACCTCAATAAGTCTGACTGTTTCACACAGACAGGTTTTGAAACGATTTTCAGTGATGAAAATGCACAAACCTACTCTGTGGGGTATGTTGAAGTCCTCATCTCTTTTGTGGGGGGATCTCTTTGGACACCATCCAGTGACATATCTACAAAATTAATACAATGGTAATACTTCAGAACACTATTATACATTAATAAAACATTTCATATTTAGAGGGGAATTTTGCTTTATCAATTAAATGTCTGCACATGAGAATCACCAAGGTAGCATTAGAAACTACTGAGGTCTCCCTGGGCACCTGAGTTTCTGATTTAGTCAGGACTGTGGCTGGGGTACTAATATTTTAAAGCTCCCAGGTGATGTGTGTGTGTGTGTGGGGGGGGCACGCACGCGCACAGAGCAGCCAAGGTTAAGGACCAACCCTGTCATTAAACATGCAACATCTAACCAACCACACATTAAATGTTTGACATTCAGATGACCATTATGGGGCAGCATGGGATCAAAACTCAACTGGAAGTCATTCCCCCTGGCCTCTGGATATCTTTCTAGTTAGTTTCCTAATCTATGAAATGAAGGTGTAGGGACTTTTTTCTCCACTTCTCAATTTTTTATTTTTAATTTTCTGAAACCCTGTAAAGCAGAGAGTACAAATAAATTCAAGTATTAATAAGATTGCATATTGTTTGAGGAAAAATCCTGAAACATGGATATTAGGCAGAATAAAAAGTGTGTTTAGTCCTTCTTTGAAATAAAACTTTTTTTCAGTGCTAGGGACCTAACCTAGGGACTCACTTAGGAGACTGAAGCAGGAGGATTGCTATGAGTTTGAAGCCCGGTGTGGTTGCATAGTGAGACCCTGTCTCAAAAAAAGAAAAAAGGAAAGAAAGAAAAAAAAATAAATCCTTCTTTCTGTCTTTGAGTCCATTTTTCTCCTTCACTCAATAAGCCCACCAATACCATATGTGTGCATTTTTCACTAGAGTGTGCTATAAAAGGTTTGGCCAAAAGTTCATTCAACTAACAGCTTGCCTACTCTGAGAAACTGCACATCAATTTTAACTTTTATGTGGTTTCTGCAATGAATTCCCACCCATGTTTGAATTCTATCTGCAAACATTGGCCTTTTCAGACTTCTGGAATTAGAAATGAATCCGTTGGTGTCTTAGTTACCTTTCTTGTTGCTGAGACAAAATACTGGATACCCACACTTAAAAGAGGAAAGGTTTATTGCT